TGCCAGAAATTCTGCGAAATCCTTATAAAATACATCTAAACGTTTTTTAGTAGTTTTCAAAAGCGCCGTGAAAAACAAAAGAAAAATTAAAATAAAACGGGAATTTTTACACAAAATCTGTTTTCAAAAAAAATAATTTTGGTTTTGGTGCAACTCTTAGATAAATGACCGTAGATACATGCAATTTTGACTAAATGTTTATATTAGCATTTTCTGTACACGATAAAATTTTCAAAATATTATGATTTAATTTGAACTATTAAGGAACATTTTCATTTTCCATATTTTTTTTTCTAAAAATATCAATAAAATTTTATTTGTGGGTTAAAAAAGCTTGAAAATTAAATAGAAGGCTATTAGTTTATTGTTTCAAAGGCAAATGAAAAATATTAAAAATCCTTAGTCACAATTTTTTTATAAGCATTTAAAGTTCAAAAATTGACAAAATATGGAAAAATCCCGAAAATTAGCAAATTATTTAGAGTTAAGAATTCGTAAAAATGTTTCTTTTTAAATCTAGGATTTGAAAATGTAATACCTACAAGATTCATTATAAGATTATCTACCTTTATCAAAAAAAAAAAAAAAATGTGTATAAGAGAGTCATATTACATTTTTATGACCGTTTGAAATTCAAATTTTTACAACACTGGATATTCACTCGATTTCTTAAGTAGCGATTTCCTTATTTTGTTGTAATTCAAAAATGAATAACTGTAGATACATGAAATTTCACTGAATGTTATACTAGCAGTTCCTTTACACCATACAATTTTGAAAATATTTTTACGCTTTTTGAGCTGTTTACAGACATTTTCAGTTTTCAATTTTTTTAGTTTTTTTTTTTATAAATATCAATAAAGTTATATCGGTTGGGCCAAAAAGTGTAAAAATGTAATACAAAGCTTCTCATATATTGTTACAATATCAGTTGAAAAATATTAAAAATACATGGGAACAATTTTTTTTTTATAAGCATTTAAAGATCGAATTTTGACAAAATGTATGAAATTTCAAATTGAATAATTATTTTGTAGTTAAATATTTTTAAAATGTTCAACTTTTATATCTAAGGATTGAAAATTTAAAACAAGGTTCCACGTAAGAAGTTAATTCTGTAACCAAAAAATCTAAAAAATACATAGACACAGTTTATTTTTATAGTAATTTTAAGTTAAAATTTAGACGAAATTACATAATGAAAAACCTAGAATAACTATTTTAGTTATTTTGTTGTGATTGTATAATATTATTCCTGGGTACTTGAAACTTCAAAAGTACACTATTATATATCTATGATAGTATCAGGGTTTGTTGTTGATGTATAACGCGTTACAAGTCCCTAATGGATATTGTGATATGATTAATTTGGAATTTATTATAATTTATAGGTCAATTTTTTTTTTCTTACCATAGATAATAGTATATAATTTGTCTTATACCTAGACTGAAAACCGTCTCAGACAAACCTCTCAGAATCCTTTTTCTTATACAATGATATTATATCATTGAATTCAAATTTAATACCATCCATTATACAGTGACCCCCTTGTAACCTACTGTACAGCAGAGCACCTTTTTTATTTACAACTAGCTGATCCCGATTACTTTGTTGCCCGTAAAAAAAAGTTGTGACTGTTCAACTCCTGTTGAGTGTAACTCAGCCTCTCTGGATTAAAGTATCTAATAATACATTTTATCTTTTTATTTATGGATTTTCCACACTAATCTTCAATATTATATACAGGATGATTATTATTTATTTATGTTTATGTAGCTATAATTAAGTTTCTTTTAATGTTTTGAATTTTAAGGTTTGTGGATTTTTTTTTCCGTTTTTTGGCTTTAATACCTACGCCATAAAATACATTTTTTGTTCCTGCGGGTTAAATTGAATCGTGTTTTCTAAGCCATGGTGCCTAATTTTATCGAATCATAATATTACAAAATGCATACACCAATTAAATAATTTAAATACTAAATACAAGTGGCGATCTGTTCATGCTTCATTGCTCATACAGTCTTATTGTTTCTGTTGGTACTTGGTTTTGTTATGTCGTTAGGTTAGGGTATTAACTACTAATTTATCACACTCAACAATAACAGGTTACAGCCTACAGCAATCAACCTATACGGCTACACCTAATGAACTTACGGCACTAAATATCAATTAGGTAGGACGTAGGACGTAGGTACATCGACAAATATGTAGTGGTATAGTGTTATCTTTATTCTGCTTATCACAATTGACACGTTTATTGCAAAACTGAAAATAATAAACATAAATATCTATTTTCTTTTAATTATCTATTAAATTTTTAAAATATTAAGTAATAAATAGGTACAAACTATAGCCATGAATTCGGATTTGATTAGTTTTTTATATTTCACAACGAGTACTTGTTATTTCACTAGTCATTTCGCCCACAGTCTCACATCGCAGACCGCAGTATAGCCCCATCACCGACAGTGTCGGACTGGCATACCAAAGGCCCATGGATCAGTTTTTTTAAGGGGCCCCCAAAAAATGTACAACGTATTTCGTTGAAACAACATATTAAGATACTTCTTTAAATATAGGTACTTTACATTTTTACTAATATGGATCATAATATATAATATATATCATAACCATGATTCATGAGTTAACTTAAATATAAAAGCAATTTTACAACTAATTATTTTTGAAATAGGTACCTATACCTATACCTAGTAAGAATATTTTAAATAATAAAACACAATTTTTAAATAAGTAATTTTTTTAATTCATTAGATGAATATGCTATCGTCTCTATCAATTTTTGAGTGTCAATAGCTATATTTTTTTCTATAGCCATCAACATTAATGGAGTAAGGTGATTTTAATTTAACGTTGAGCGAAGTTTCGTTTTTATACATTTAAGCTTTGAAAATACCCTTTCGCAAGTTGTTTGTGTTGATGGCAACAACAAAGCAAACTTATATATAACAAATAAATTTGAAAATAAATTTGACTGGCATGATAATTCTCGTACAATTAAAAATGCACAGTGAATACATTTGTTACACTTATTGCAATTTACTGATTTTGATATTTCATCATTATCTTCATCACTCACATCTTCATTTCTTAAAAGTAACTTATCTTCTGAATCACAATCGGTAGTATATTTAGGTATTTGTGGTATAAAATGTTCATATTGACTGGAAAATTGTTTCAATTCTGTTAAGATTACTTGATGATTCAGTCCAGATATTTTACATATAGTACTCAAAGCTGATACAGGCAATAATTCAGTGTTGTTAAATACTGTAAAACTTCTAGGGTCCAACCAGTTCAAGTCTTTTAATAAATTTTCATTTTTCATGAATCGTGTCTCAATACTATTTTGAATAGTGTCTATAATTAAAAAAGTATCATATTTAAATTTATTATATGGAGATATAATTCTTGATTCATCATTACACTTTTCCCCAGAAAGTTTTTTTTTTTTGAAATACGTTTTATTGGAAAATCTTCTTCACAAAAGTGATTATTTATTTTTTTACAAAAATGTTGACATTTTCTATATAAATTTAATACATACTCATCATTTCTTTTTTTCTCAATTTCTTTTTTTAAAGCAGCTATCATATTCCATGCTTGTAAATAATTTATAGTTTTAGTTTGTAGATAAATTGACACCGGAGTTGTAGCTGAATAGCTATACGTATTATACTATTAACAGTATTATCCTAGTTATATTAGTCGACAATATTTTTATAAATAACTATAGTCGATAGTCGATACTCGATGGGATGTGAGAAAAACATTATATAATATTTATAAATAAAAGCATTATAATACAATATTAACGCAAAGCCGACGCGATGGAAATCATTCGTTTAAAAATAAACTATGAAACATTTGAAGCTACAAAACAATAAATAATAATTATTAATTCCACAGAAATGAAATTACGAAAACTAAAATTATATTTCCATTATAAAATTTCAATTTAGGAGACATATCCGTAAGCTATATAAGAATTATATTATTTAAGTAGCTTTCAAAAGTAAATGTCATACCTTCATCATTATTATATCTTTATATACCTATTATACATTTATACAGATATTATAGACGTATAGTATTGTAAATTAATACATAATACATTTTTTTCTATGCAATATTTGCATGATTCCAACAGCGGGGCACTGGGGCCCCTGCAGGGTCGGGCAAGCGGGGTCCTCGTGGTCTCGTCTAAGTCCTATAAAACCTAACTTAACTTGCAGTAGTGCAATTAATCCAAAAAACCTGCTCTAACTTATTACTAGACAATTTCATTTTACTATTATTCATCATCATATTATAGGCCATAGGGAATGCTGGACAAAATTGACGACACTAAAAAAAAAAAAAAAGAAGGGGCCCCGGCCGCATTCGCGGCCCAGCGGCCATGGCCAGTCCGACACTGATCACCGAGTCACGTATCTACCACATCTACCACTGTATGGACTATTGTAGACTGTAATAATATGTTTGTTTGTTTTTTTATTTTATATTATTAATTTTTAAATAATATTTAAAAAGGCGCGAATACCGACCGCGGGGCGTGGACTACTTATTACAGTCCAAGGTCTCTCAATGCACCTTGTTAGTCCCTCACATAAGTCTTGGATTGTTCTATGTAGAATATGTTGCACGAATACGATGTAGATGATAATAATCGTGAATCGTGGACTCAGCCGCGGCGGTACAACGTCATGGAGCATTATGATAGAGCTGCCACGTTGTCAGCACTGGGCACAAGAATACCGCGCTTACCGGGGTTACCTGATTGTTGATCGTGATGCTACCGGAAAAGCGGTCCGCCTACCACAGCAGCTATTGAATTCACGATAACATAACCTCACAATTTCGCTGTACATATTCTCTCCTTCGCGATCGTTTTCCACGTTTGGTGATTTTCAGTCGTTCGTGATTCGGACCGTTTCCGTTCATTTTCGCCTTCAGCTTGCTGTATCGTCGCCTTTCAATCATGGTAAGTACAGAATGACCGGTCATTATTTGACGGCCGATTTTGGTTCGAACTTACAACGCTTTCCTAAATAACTAAAACGGAACGCGTCGCCTTCTCTTTCCGATTCTTCCAAGACTCGTCTTTTCAGGCGGTGGACGCCATATGAGTAGTATTATTTTAAAATGTGTTAGTCTATAAGGAAGTTTCCGATTGCGGTTGTCATCCCATTGCATTCGGCTCTAGCTTTTATCTGACCGTAATGGTACAGTAACGCCAATCATAGATTATACAACTTATATACCTACCTAACCTACTGATAGTGACATACTCAGCCCTCCCCTGTGTGCATGTCTGAAAGTTTAATTTTTGGTCAACATTCAAAGTGCTTGTTGAACGATGTGTTTGATTTTGGTTGATGCTAGCATTTAATATTGTTCTTGTACAAATAAGGTCTTCTGTATCGTAGTAACAGAGTCACTACACCTAAGGCACTAATCTGTGTGTATTTGTACAAATTCATTTTTTATGATCTTTATATGCACTTTACATGTGTATTGATTATATTTTATAATATTTAGGTTAGTACAAACATATTAGGTAATTGCAAAACCTCTGTATTGTAGGTACCAAAAATTTTAATCATTATTATTTTTCATTAATGTTTTAACACTTTCAACGCCGCTGGCGCGTATCCGCGTCAATATAGTTTATTTCAACAGGCCAGTGACACGTTGCAATACATTCATATACGCTATATTTAAATTGTATTTTTTTTAATAAACTCTGAAACTTAGATAGGCCATTAACAATGAACTCTAAATTTAAAAGTATGGGTGGTTTTAATTTTTGTTTTGTCCGCCGTTTCTGAAATCACAGGCGGCGTTGAACGTGTTAAAGTTACTTATTTTTGTTTTCATACGATAGGTACATTCATACAATTATAATATAGGTACTCATATATTGATATTAATTGATACTTATCTCATATCTCATTTGATGCAACAACTCATAAAAGCATTTTGCTTCTATTTCATTAGTACCTATTAGTATTGCCGTTTTTATTTATAATTTAGGTACCTAGATAACTTGTGAAAATTTTTTGTTCAATCAAATGTTTTGTATTTCTTAGTGTTATTTTGTAAATATTTTTCAAATGATCTAATATGATGTGTATAACAAATGTTCTCATGACATGGTATTTACTTATCATTAACTTCAAATTATGTATGTTAAATGATTTTTATTTGTTCAAATTTATAGTCATGAGTTCGATAATTTAATAAGGATGTTGTGCTTACTTAAGTTTAAAATAATGATTATTTTTTGTATACAATCATTTTGATACATTTACGATACACCAAATTGGTACTATTGACTCTTTTAGTACTAGATTATTATTATTATTATTATTATTATTATTATTATTATTATATTTGCAACAGATACCTATGCTCATTAACCGAATCAGGTTTATATAAGATGTACCTCACCATTAGTTTAACTAAAAACATTTACTTGAACCATATAGATTGTTGTACAGAGTAGTCTATAGTACAGGGGTGGCCACTAACCTTAATTTTTGGCACCGCAAATGTGTAAAGCTGATTCGAGGTGAGTCACATTGGAAAGCTATGTTTATAAAATGAAGACACATTTTTAATTTTATGTCAATTTATTTTTTAAACTTCACTACTATATTTAGATTTAATAAATTTAACTATTTAATTCACATACATATAAGTAGTCTCAAAGACCGAAATAAATCTCTTGGCCCACTCTTTTATTATTGCTGAGTATTTTTCTTCCGAAACATGGGCCCACAATTTAGGCTATACACATACTAAAAGTCAATGTTCCAATCCATAATAACGACTGTACCTAATGATAACAAAAATAAAAACATTATCTTATGATTCTAACGGAAATACTTAGTTATATTTATTGATTTTAGTCTAAGCTCGGTTCAAGAGCCACATGCGGCTTGCGAGCCTCGTTGTGGCCACCCCTGCTATAGTATATCTCAATAGGCACATAATAGTTATTAAAAAATCTTTATTGATTAAATAATACTAATAGGTAATAACTAGGTACCTATATTATTTATCTATCTACCTATTGTTTTCTTGCTAAAATGTCTGCAAGGCAATTCATATAAGATAATATTGTACCTATTTGTTTTAGGATTTGGAATTTAAAGATGTGGAGAATACTCCTACTGATCAAAAGAGGCACAAAATCCGTATCACATTGACTTCTAAGAACATCAAAAGTTTAGAAAGTGGTAAAATATATTTTCATTATTATTTTATCCATACTAGTATGTTACCTTGTTCATTGAAATAATAATTTTTAGTGTGCTCCGAGATGATTGCCGATATCAAAAAGAGGAAACTGCCAGTTAAAGGACCAGTACGTATGCCAACCAAATTCTTGCGTATCACAACTAGGAAAACACCTTGTGGTGAAGGTTCAAAGACATGGGACAGATTCCAAATGAGAATTCACAAGAGGGTGATCGATTTAAAATGCCCAAGCGATAAAGTCAAACAAATCACTAGTGTCAACCTCGAACCCGGTGTTATTGCTGAAGTTAGCATTGCTAGCGAGTGATGTGTTTTTTTTTATATAATATATGATTTGAATGGTACGACAACTAATATCATGTCTAATAAAAGTTAAAAATTACATCATGCCGTTAATTTCATTTATTTTTTTAAAATTATTTTTAATTAAGTTTTACTGTTGTGGATTCTTATTTCTTTTTCTTTTTTGTCTTTTATTCCTATGACATAAAAAAAACACTATAATTCCATGTATCGATTCATTCATTTCTTTGGATGTTGTGTAGCCATGTTATAACTTGAGTGGCAGTGTTTTGTTATAAACAAATTAATCTATAATGTGTAGAAATGTTTGAAGGGCTAAACAAATAAAAAAAATGCAATATAGAGCTTTTAAAAAGAATAATATTAGTGGTCTTAAAATTGTTGTCGTACAATTTCTTTCGTGTTTAAATATAAGTTGCAATTTACATATGGTATTTACTCCCTGCTATTAAAATATAGAAAGTTAATTATTTACATATAAGCTATAAATAAGTGCATTTCTCAAAAGGTTATAATTAATTTCTTCAGATGTTTGTAAGATAATTTCTGTATTGTTAAAAGTTGTTTCAAAGTGGTTAATAGGAAAGACTAAAAATAAAAATAGCAATGATTAATAATATACTCCATAATTTTAAGTCCAAACTTATACTTTATTAAAATTTATAATGAAAGAACAAAAGTAAATGTAAAAAAAAAACATAACAATAAAATATAAATTGAATAGGTTATAACTTATAGAGAATGTATTATAATTAATAATTATGTTAGTTTTTAAAATCTGTTATTCACATGGTTTATGAAATTTATTTTTCCCCAAAATAATTTTAAGAGTAATTTTCGACATAGTTCTCTAAATCCATATTTTCCCTATATTTATAATTTAACAATTTTAAATATTAGGTATACATATTCCCTACTGCTGTTTATAACTCATTCAATGTTATGTATTTTTATTAGAACTTGTATATTTTACTGTGTTGTTATTTTAGTTCTTACATTATGAATTATAGTGAATAATATACATTATCGTTCTTGTAAACCAGTCGAAATCGACTGGTTGATGATCTTATGAGAAATATTGGTCGATCTTACTAAAAATTATTAACTTTACCAATTTATGTTACGTTAAGTATTTATTATCAAAGCAAAATATACAATTTTCTGATGGAGAATTAATAATGAAAGGAGAATATGATTATTCAATTTATTATTATGCAGCATGTAATAATATATATAAACATTCAAAACAAATAGTGGTTGATCACCAAATATCTACTTAAAATTTTTAATGTGGCTCACTTCTAGGAAAAGGTTGGTAACCCTGAAATAATATGAATGTCTGAAGAAATATAACATAACCCTGACCTTTATAACTTATTAATTTTTCTAAAAAAATTTTTAATTGTAAAGAAAATACCAAGCTTGTATTGGGAATGCTATGATTGGTTAAATTTCAAGTTACACATAAATTGCAACTTATATTTGAACATGGGAGTTATTATTGTCTGACAACAATGTATATAACCCCAAAATTATACTTTTTTTAAGCTATTTTTTTCACAAAAAAATTAGTTATAATTTTTAGTAGTTAAAGTAGATAAATTGGCTAGTAAATGGTGGGTATTTCTATGCAATCATAACACGTTCACAACAGCTTACAATTTTTTCGTTATGTCTGCCCAAGTGCTTTACTGTTGTGTTTCCCAATTTCTTTTACTCAAGGAATTTTTGCAGAAACCTTGAATATACTTTGGACAGTTCTCATTTTTTTTTTTTCATAATTATAAAAAAAAATTGTATGCTCAAATGAATGGGCTGTCTGGCTTCTAGCACAAAAGAAAGTGTTGTTAATATAAAAAGACAACATCAAGGACGGGTTAAAGTTGTATTTTGTTTATTAGTTTATCACTATTACAATATTATTAATGTATATATCAGGCTACAATTTTTTTTATAGTGTACTATATTTATTCACACTCAAATTCCAACAGTAAATTCATTGATTCTTGTTGTTGACAAATATAATATACTGAATGGCCAGTCAAATATTATAATGGTTTGGCAAACGCCTATTTAAAATTGTATAAACCACATCTAATTATTAATGTCTGGGTATGCTTGATAGTGAGTACTACGCTTCGATTTTGAATGGTAGGAATTGAACATATTGAGTATCAGTGCCGCAATAGGATTCTTAGGGCCCTGGACAAAGTCAATGTATGGGGCCGTGAGGTCTAATGCCTATGTATATAATATTTTTTTATAGATTACCTATACAAAAATGAATAATGATGGTGAACTTTTTTTTAAAAATATGTAAAGACCCACCACATATAGTAACCAGTGACAATTTTTTAGGCTTTTTTTTTTTTAATTTTATTCGTATGACTACAATGAGCACTAAGATATTAAAGACCGTTTTTAGATAAATATGGATATTATTAATTATGGATAAATAAGGGCCCCGTTCTTCGAAAACAAATTAAATAGCATAATAAATTATGGAAATACATATTTTTATTTAATATATTTTATTTGATTTTAACATTAGATTACAATGCAATTATGTATTTAAAAATTTAAAATAGACGCGGGGCCCCTTGAGCCAACGATTAGCGGCCCTGGCTGCCACTGTGGTTGTTGCGGCACTGTTGAGTATACTCCTTCTTAGACCAAAAACATAAGTATCTTATAATTATAATATGATAATTTTGTCCAGAATCCAGAACAAAGTTATTACAGAGTTATAACTTTGTCACTTTTTGTCACTTTATTTTGAAAACTGTCACTTTTCTCACTTATAGCTGTTTATTATAATGTTTCGAGACAGACACAGAAATTAATCATATACACTTTTTTAAATTGTGTTTATTTAATTTTACCTACAGACTATAATATAGAATATACTAACTATATCTGAGTCTGTGATTTTACCACAGAATATGTTTAGAAAGTGTCTATTCTGATTTCATCTATTCTGTGATTTTTGTAGAGACTAACAAAAAAAGGATTTGTTGGTAATATTGTATGACCAAGAACCTATGGATAAATTGAACACTGTTGAGTTCCATTATAACCAATATATTTGTAAATTATATATATTACCATGACAAATTGTAGTCTTCTCTAATTTATTTAATAGAAATCTTTATATTTTCAATTTTGTTATTAAAGTTTTTACACTGTTAAAATTTTCAATTTGTCAAGTAAATTAGTGTTGTTTTTTTAGATTCTGAGCGAAGCGATGAATGTATTTTGTTATTGGTGTGCATCAAATTATTTTAATCGATAATGGGACACTGTACAGTTGAAGATGTGTTGCTCTTAGTTAAGGATTCTTGTAATAATAACATTTCAACATGGGAACAAAAGCATTCACAGGTTTTTTTCATTGCTTGTGCTAATTTAAATAGTCACTTTTATTCACCTAAAAGTAACAATTAAGTCACTTTTCTCACCAAGTCAAGTTTTTTTTTTCAATTTAATTAAAAGTGAAGTTAAGAAACATTTTTAATACATACATTAAGTTAACAAATACTGTTAACTTAACTTAACTTCAATTAATAATTTAATTTTTCAAAAAAGGTATTAAAATAAGTTATAATCACTTGTATAGTATTATACCTATCAAAGTTGTAAGTATCAACCTATATGGATATATATATTAATATTATGTTTGTATAATTTAAAACCTGTATGGCTGTATAATTTTAAAATTCTATTCATATTTCACGCTGGGTTCATATAAAAATAAATATTGTGTGTAAAAGTGTTTAGTGCTTACTGTATTGTTTAACATATTTTAATATTTTATAATTTAAAAAATGAATTACTCAAACATTTAAAACTTGTAAAACAACTACTATATTTCTACTTATAAATGGTGAATATTATATATATGTATATATTATGTATAACATTTTGTGCTTTACAACTAGGTTATTCTAACTATCTATTAAATTTTAATACAAGCGTAAACTGTATGAATTGTGGTATAAATGTATACCTAATATACTTTTTTTTATATATATACACCAGTATTAGGTAGGTAGGTATTTTTGTAATAAAACTATAATGTATAAATCGAAATTATTATTATTAATAAATAATAAGTAATAACTAATGAGTACCTACTTAAGAAGACGCTTCACAGATATTGTTGTCTCTTACAATTTACAAGAGCATAACATGGCATATTTACACTCAGAAGATAACGTTTAACTCAGTTAGTCTAAAAATTAGAGTGTATTACCTAATAGGTATTAAACTTGATGGTAAGAACATGTGAGTTTATTACGATAATTCCGTTTTTAAGTGAGTTATGAGCATTTTTTATTTAATTTTTATATTATACACGCATAACTTACTAAAAATTTAAACTATCGTAAAAAACCTACACTGTAAATAAAATAATAATTGTGTTCTTTCAGTTATTTATAATTTTAGCATTTATTTTTTAATAAAATTTTATTTCCTCTCGTTTCATTATTTTAAATTAAAAATTAAAAATACTATAAATAGTCTTGTATCGAGTACTCGATTTAAGGCGAGTACTTAAAACTACAAATATAAAAAAAAATTTGTCTCGACTTGTAAAGTTTTCCAAAGTCAAGTATTCGTCTAACACTAATTATTATTATTATTTATTTAAAACCAACACGGAAAACACTAAATTATACGTTTTCAACAACGTCAACGAGATTATTTTTCAATTTTATATCAGCATGGATAACGTTTAATTTTGTATTGTACAAATGTACAATATAAAACGTTATTTAATGTTATCCGCAGTCCTCGGTTGTGGGACTTAGCCACTTAGGTTGGCGGGGCTATGGTTTGCCGGACGTCGGCAGCAGATTAGAAATAATATTTATTTAATTATATTACTAACAAAATTCCTTACCGCCTCCTATCGGAGATAGTTTTTCACGCAGCAAGTTGTCTATAGTAGTATTTATAAGCAAATGTCAATGGCGATCTCCTGTGTTGATTATTATTACTGTA